GTGCTAACACACAGCGAGGGATTGGGGAGTTCAGGGAACTGGCAGGCTGCGGGGGGGTGTCCTGCCCCTCCCACCCCCCAGGTAGGAAGTGGCTGAAGTTCCTGGCAGAGTTGTGAAGGCCCTGTTTCTTCTCTGATGTTCTTCAAGCTGTGGTTCCACCCATTGGTAGTTCTGTTCTTTGGGCTACTCTTTCTCCCAAGAGAAGGGATCGGGCCGGGGTGGCCCTCTCTCACCCGGCCCTTCGCTTCCACAGTGGCCACCTTGTGCCCACTGGCAGGACAGGGCAAAGCCACCCTGCTCCCTGGGGTTGCCAGCAGCGGTCCATTTTCCTGTCTTGCCCAGGCTGCTGCTCCCTAGAGGTGTAACCAGGGCGGGGGGTTCCCCTTCTCCAGAGTTCCCTTAAGGGAGGCGTTTGGGGTGTTCTCCTGCCTTTGGGGTCCCCCAACATGCCCAGATTGGCTGGCCAACAGAACTGTCCTTGCTGAGTGGTGGTTCCTGCCTCTCGGGGTGGCACTTTCAAAGCCCGAGCAATGTAGAAGTTTCGTTTTACCACGCAGAAATGCTGGCATGATGATGCTGGAAGAATATCGCTGGTTAGGGTTGAGTCCGCAGAACAAGGCAGTGAATCTCCTCCTTTTGGTGCTTTGCAGTCTGCTCTGCAGATCATGAACAGTTCTTCCAACTAGATCAAAGGGAGGCAAAAACGCTCATTTTCCATAGATTGATCAGGAATGTCTGTAGTGAGAACGTGGTTTAGGGCAGAGACTGAACCCGCCGTCACTTGCTCATTTCTGATTCAGTGAGAAAGAAATCCCCAAAGCCTCCATCTGATGATCTTTGCGCTCCACCTGTCTTTTTTGGTATTTCTCTAATATAGAATCACCCAAAGTCACCTCTCCTTTGAGGCAGAAGAACGGTTGATGGTCTTATGAAATCCCGTCCCATTTTGTACACCCAGCCTCAGCAGATAGGGCCTCCGAGCTGGGTCTCGATGCACCCGCTGATTAGCCTTCTGCTATTATTGATACGTAAGTGTGCTTCCCTCCCAGCTGAGGGCAAGTGAATGAAATGAGAGGATCAGCGAGTGCCCAATTGTGGACTGACTGTTGCAGGACGACTCTGATCCGATAACCTGAAGGGGCCGCCATCTTCCTGATGCCCTCTGTGCGCAGCTTCAGCTGTTGGACTGGCAGTGGGGAGAGCCAGGTTCGAGTCCTCCGCGGCCACTGAAGCCCCCTTGGTGATTTAGGGCCAGCCCCCTCAGCCCCATGCACCCACAGGATTGTTATTGCAAGGGGGGTGTGGAGGAGGGAATGCTGTGACTTTCACCTGGAGAAAAGGTGAGACAGGAGCCCACCCATCGATCCAACTTATGTTATAAAGGCTGGCAGGGATTGGGGCAGGACGGTGGGAGGCCGGCAGCCCCAGGAGCAGCAGCCATGGAAGGAAGGGACCAAGGAGGTGGAGTGAAAGGGTTAGGGTTAGGGCAGGGTGCGTTCCTGTTTGCTGCTGCCTGGACCAGGTGCCAAGGTTGGGGGGGGGAGCTGCACCTCCTGGCCGTGGAAGTCCTCCACTGGCACCCAGGCCCACCTTGCTGAGAGCTGTCCTGCTTCGTGCTCCTGCGTCTTCTCCCAGTTCCCTCAGAGCAAGCTTTCCTCTCAGCCCCAGGAGAATGAGGGCAAAAAGATGCCCACAAGCATGTTAGGCAAGAATTGATCATGTTGTGCTTGTCTGGGGCATTTGTCCTGTGAAACAAGATGGGCTTTGGCCAAGGTTGTTATAGTAACTGCCGAGATTTCTTCCAAAGAGCAAATAGAACACAAAACCATTCATTGATTTATTTTTCTGGGTCTTCATTCAGAAGAGCAGAGTGTACCATGTAGATGGGCTGCAAAGAAGAACTGGTGTTAAGTAATTTGGGTGTCCAAAAACATGCTAATGATGAGGCGAAATAGCCCCCGGAATGCTAAGCAGAGCGTTCTGGTTTGGCTGTCCTTTTCATATGAAATTGGGTCATTTTCTTGGCTGCTTGGTTACCATTCTCTTGCCTGGCTTGTTAACAGAATGAGGTTAGTTCTTAGAACTGGGAGGGAGTCAAATTTCCTTCCCCAGATCTTGGATCACCCAGTCACATTTTGCCTCCTGTTGCTCCCTGATTGAAAGCGTTTGTACCACTGCAGGCGAGCTGTCTTAGGGCCCCTTGCCGCAGTTCGGGTTGCTGCCTTGGCTGGTCTTTGGGTAAAGTCTGGCTTACAAGGTGGTGTAGGGAACCCACTTGTCATCTGAGCAGTGGTCCGGCACGGGATGCTGCCCTTCCCTGGGTCCCAGAATTTCTCCGTTCCTCCCCGTCATCTCCCACCGCACTGCCTTGTCTCCTGTTTGCCACGCTTTTCGACAGGGACAGACCATTTCCCCCACCTGACCTCCTGCATGGTCCTTAGGCTGCAGTTCCACCCTCCTCAGCTGGCCATGCTGGATCCCAGTCCTAAGAAATCTGGAGGATGCCAGGCTGAGGAAGGTAGTCCGGTGAGACGCTACATGCGCTCTTAGTAGCAATAACTTTTAGCAGCAATCACTTTACGCAGTCTAGCTCTATTCATGGAATAGAAGACAATTGCACACACTCCCTCTATAGTTAAAAATCTTTAAAAAAAAATCTCTGCCTGCCCGATGCTTCAGCTGAATTCCTGCTGCTCTCCTGCTATGGCTGCCCTTCTAGATCTCTGCTTGAGGTACAGCATCTTCATTTGAAATATGGGAGAGAGCATATGCCTTAATTTGTTCCTTCTTCCTCTTAGGAAGATCCCATGGCCTGGAAGATTTCTGTAGATCTGGGGTGATTTAGGGTGTATACCTTCTGTTTCCTGAAGGACAAATCTATTTAAGGACTGAAGGACATTGAAGATTTTGAAGATTTGTCCAGGAGCTTGTATTGACCCAACAATCTAACTGAGCCAGGAAAGAATTCTGGATTTTTATGGTTCTGCTTACTTTCTGTGGTCAGCTGCGGTTCTGTGTTTCTCTTCAGCCATTTGAAGAATCACATCTCAGTTCTCAGGAGTGCCCTCGTTGGACTGTCTGTTTCCATGCAATGCTGAGATGTCTCTTTGTCCAGCAGAACAAGACAAGAGAGGACAGCTTTGGGGGCATGAAAGAAAGGGGGATGTTGATGTGGATGGAAGGGGATCTCCACCAAGGGGTTCTGAAATCTGGCCACTTCCAGAAGGCGGCCACCAGGGTCTGCACACTTGACGTTTGAATGACCCAAGCAAGTGGTAGGGGTTTGCAAAAAGAAGTGGTCCTTCAGACAACCCATCAATTATTCTGTACCCTACACAGATATCAAAAACAATAATTTAACATCATTTATATTTGGTTGCTTGTCCAAAAGTAATGCTGGATGAGAGAATATGAGTAATCCTTTTTCTGTCTTTTTCCCACTTGGCATCAAATGACTCATGTTAGGAGACCAAACTGTAATCAGATTAATCAGCAGAACTTTGACTTATAGGTAAAAAGTGGCCTCTAAATCAATCAGAAATGGAAGGATGCCTTGCTGTGAAAACTCCTGTAAAACAAGGGCAGTTTCCTCCCTGCTGAATCAGATTCAGAGCTGGGTCAGATTCCCCCCTGCCCCCCCATATTCCTGAGATGGGAGCCTGTGGGCCTCAGCTCAGCTCTGTAACAAGGCTGCAGCAGAAAGGCATTGGAAGAGTGACCCTGCCCCCATAACAGATTGCCCTTTCAATGCCAGTTCAGCTGCACTGCCCTTCAGGCCCCGGGCCCTTCAGTACATTGCTCCTCCTTTCCCCTTCAAAAGAGGAGCCCTCGTGCGCCCGTGCTCTGAGCCTGTTCAGGATTAATGTGCTTTGTGTGCCGAGGAGGACTGGCAGTTGAAGCAAGGCGTGCCTTCCCAGGTCTCGGTGGCATCTCCGGAAGGGGGCCCTGGCTGCCAGTCAGAGCCAGTGGTGCTCAGCTGGTTGGCTGGTGGCCAACCTTCTCCTACCTTCACAGTCTTCCTTCTTTTTTGGGTCCCGGGAGCCGATTTTCATTTGCTGCATGTGATACCCTGCCATCGTATTATTTTATGATTGTTAGAATGGAGTGGCTGAAAAGTCATTTGGTGAATCAGCCTTGGTGTCACCCCAGCTTCTAAACTAGCCCCAGCATGAGGGGTTTCAGGAGGGCCCGTTGGGGACGCTGTTACCCAGAGACCGGCCCTGTTGCCTTTCCTCTCAGGATGGGAAGGAGGGGTTGCTGGAGGAGACGCGGGGGCCTCCTGGACTTCCAACTCAGAGGGAAAAGGAGGGCCTTTTGTGGGGCTTCAGAGGGTCTTCCTGAATCTTGGAGACCAAGCGGGCTGCAGTTGAGAGGCTTCGTCAATTGCTTTCAAGCAATTGCTGCCTTGAGCGCTGGTGAGGGAGGATTTACATGCGTTAAATACATGAAATAAACCCTCACGCTGGAGCTTCTGTCTGATTTGGGAAGAACCACTATGAATTATCAGGCTGGATAAGGGAGAGGGAAGAACGGCACCCGTCTGCTTCTCTTGCCATCGGCCCTGGCTGCACACCCCCCCTCGGGTAGCTGGCCATGGCTGGCTGGTAGTTCTCTCTTCTCCAGCAAGACACATCCAGTTTCCTTGAAAGAGAAGTCCAGGAGATGCCTTGCTGAGCTCTGGGCTGTGGGCCGATTGCTTCAAGCCTCGCCAGTGGTTGCTTGGTGCCCCTCTTCCCCGAGGGTCAGGCCTCTTTTGCAGCGGGCACCCTGCTCTACCTGCAGCCCCTGGAGCCAGGCAGGGCCCCCAAGCTCCCCTCTCTTGCCCATCTGCTGGCCAAGAACATTGCCCAGAAGCGGGGGCTCTGAGAGAAATCTTCTGATGGGAAGTCCAGAGGTCTCAGGCATCAGGGGCCTCTCACGCATCCCACGGTCCCGCCTTGTGCTTTCAGGATGCGTCTCTTGCACTGAGGATAGTGATGGTGCTTGTTGTCTTTTTGCAGAGTCGTCTCAAGGAAGCAGTGCAGTTACTGGAAGATTACAAACATGGATCTCTGCCACCAGGAACCACCAACCAAGAGGTGATCAGAGTGAATGAATCTCGGCCGTTTCCTGTATGAGAGTTACAGGCCTACCGTTGTAGTCTCGGGGCCAGATGTTAAGTAGCCCTGCTTATGCGGAGGCCAGGCGTGCATCCGTCACACCCAGTGTCCCTTTCTGCCCTATGCCCCAATAGTCCCTGTCCCATGCAGCATTGCCACAAAGCAGCCGCCGACTGTCTCTCCTCAAGAACAGTGGTGGTGTAGGGTTTGTAGCATCGTGCCAAGGAAGACGATGCCTTTAAGGAAGAGTGCTCTCTTGCTAGATCGAAAAGGTTCAGATCGTGGGACCCCAAAGGAAGGCTCTCTGATAGGGAATGCTCCCAGCGTAGCCGCCAAATATTTCTTTCGAGTATTTCCATTTGATAATCATTGATCCTGGGCTTGAGCGTTTCATATTTTAGATTCCATATTTGGCATTATTCGATAGTTGACATGCAGTGGCACTTAATGTTTTGGCAGCGTTTGACAGCTGATGAGATTCCATATTTCACAGATGCCAGAATCAAAGCAGTCAAAAGATGCAAGAGATCTAAAGCACTTGAGTTCTGAATTCTGAAATAAAGATTTCAGATTCAAAACCTGATTGGTGGATGCAGAATTCTGGAACGTCTGAGATTCTGCCAAGTTTTGCTTTGCTCTGATCTGTCCCCTCCAGGACCAGCCACCTCGTGTCCTGGGCATTTGCAGGGCAGGACAGCTTTCCCCACACATTTGGCATGTGGATGTGGAGGAAGTCCTGGCCAGCCATTCCTCCCATGGAAAGTAGATGCCCTTGAAGAGGGAACTAGACAATTGTGTCCAGCCTGTGAGCCAACTTGGTTGGGGAACACATTTGCTCCTGTATTGTGAGTCCTGACTCCATTTCTGGAGCTGATGTTACATTGTCTTTGTGAGTGTCCACTCTGGTTAGTTTTTCCCCAACTGGCCTCTTCAAGCATTGGATTGCAGTTATCGTCCGGGCTAGTGATGGGAGCTGTGCTCCACACATCTGGAGGGTGCCAGGTTAAAGATCCAAGGGCTACAGAGGATTTTGGAGGGAGGATGTGGAGCATAGTTTTAGAAACCAAGGAGGCCCACCAAGGAAGAATATTCTTTATGCTCATGCGAGAATGTCTAAGGACCCTCCTTCTATCTACTTGTCTGTGACCGTAATAAATGGAATTGAACTGAATCGAACTTTCTTACGTCTTGGAGGGACCAAATCACAGGAAGATTCTGCCAGTCTCTTCCTGGGATTCAGATTCCAGCAGGATTAAAACAGAATTCCAAAATCTCCCCCAAATAAAACACGTTAAGAGTCAAAGTGTGGAATCTGAAACAATTAATTCTCCATTTAGACCCTGTGGAATTTTGTGCCACCTTGGTGGGTCATCAGGATGACAGTTCAGCATTGCATTGAGTCTGGGGGCTGTCCTGGTAGCCCTCGGTCCCTTCTGTATCTTTCCACCAGAGGTTCCAGCCCTCCATTCAGGAGTCCAGAACGTTCTTGCTCCCTCCAGAGACTGCCCTCGGCCTGCCACCTCGTGCGTTTGGAACTACTCGCACGGCAGCTGTGTGATGTGCATCCCTCTTCCTTCATTCAAAGCCTTCCTTACATCTTGCTGTTTCTCTGCATGATGTCTCTGTAGTTTCCTGGGTGATGGATAATCGATGCCCCTTTGCTTCTCTCGCACGTGGCTGACATATCTATGCTCAGAAGCTAAACAGGGTCAGGCCCTTGCTACTTGGATGGGAGACCACCAGGAACTTCTAGAGCTGTAAGCTAGCCTGGGAAGTTGAAGAAATGGTAATAAGCCACCCCAGGAATCAAGGGTGACTCCAAGGAGACCCATAATATTAATAACAATAGTAATGTATGATCAGGGAACAGGTTAAAGCTTCAGAGGAGGTGGACTGTTTTATGAGACGATGAAGGCAACTGGGACAGTCATTCTCACAAGTAGTCACTGCCACCAGAACAGTTCATCTGACATGTGAAGAAAGATTGTGTCCCCAAATGCATTCACAAAGCTACCGAGAAGAATATTTGACTCCTTGGAACATTAACTCCTGATGGTGGTTTGGTTTGTTCCTATCGCTGCAGTTCAGGTGGTGGCCTCCCAGTGCTTAAATGCCAGGTGGATTAGACATTGGCAGTGGAGAAAGCATTTTGGAGTCTCTTCTTTATTTTTGGTTTCCTGACAGGAGCAGGACAAGTGGTGTTCATTGGCAACCTCTCCCAAGGACCTGTATATACTGTACATGGCTTTAACATGTGAGTTAGGCATTGGCAAGAGCTGTGCTAGGTGGGAGTGGAGACTTGTCTAACCCATCACCCTCTTTTCATTGGTGTCCAACCAGATGCCCCTCCCCAGAAGCTCAGGAAGAAGGTGAGAAAGTGCACCCTCCCCTTTGACACCAGCACTAGTCTCTTGAGATGTGTGAAGAGGCCCTTTGGAAAGTCTAGAAGTGAAGTGTTGTGCCAGCCAGGGTGCCATCTGCTGTCTTTGCAAAGATGCTCCACCAAGATGCTCTGCGTGATTGTGTGAGAATCCCAGGCTTCTCTGGACTGATCCATCTTCTGCTTTCTTCTGCCCTGAGTTATAAATTTTTCATATATAATTTTTATTAAGAATGTTGATTAATTAACTAAAGAAAAGATAATAGAAAGAAGGAGAAGAAAAGGAAAAGTAAGAATATAATAAAAAAGAGAAAAATATATAAAAAAGTGACTTCCAACCTTCATCACAACAAGAATAAACAAATTTAGTGACTCCTCTAACATTTATCTCTTCATCCCATATCCCGTCTCTTATCTATAAACAAATCCATAAAACATCATCTTTTCAGTCCTGCTGTCAGCACAAAGTCCATAAAGGTTTGCCAGAATAACAGCATATCTTGTTTTAACCTTGATCAAATAAACCAAACTTATATTCCTTCCTTTTACTTCTAACAGTCTTAATCTCTATTTCATTCAAATATCGTAATAGGATTTGATTTCTCTTCATTTCTTCTTTGCCCCATTGCAGAGTTCTTCAATCCAATAGGAAAAAATTATCCAGGTCACTCTCTTGGTTTGTCATTTGTATTTCCCTTTT